TAAAAGCAACCAGACTGGTACGCAAAACACACACAAATTAAATAGGCAAGTAAGAAAACACGTAAAAATAAACAATATAATTACATAAATTAGAAAAGGTAAGTAGTCGTATAATCTTCACAAATCACAGCTTCCAGATCGGTTGCTTAAGAGAAAATATTTGACGTAATACAATAGGAAATATAATTTTTTTCCATTTAGTGAGTTTCTGATTCTACTTGTATTTAATTTTTTACCAAAAATCGTCAATCCCCTCATAATATAATTGAAGAGAAAAGTGGATAAAGGTGTCATGTAACAAAATCATTGTATGGAGAAATTGACTTAAGCATCTTTTATTATCTTGTTTTTGCAACAAAGTAATCACAAAATGAAATAATCCACAAGGTTTGTTCATGCAAAATGGGCAATTTTAAAAAAATGTTATATGACGCCTTTATCCACTTGTGTCAACAATTATTTCAAAGTTATGTTTTAAAAATAGAATATTTTTCGATATTCAGAAAGAAAAATTCAAGAAACATACATGAATAGTCAAAAAGTTGTATCTAGGAATTAAAAGTATACGAGCCTCGTAATGTTCTAAAAAATTCCACATATCAAACAATTTCCCGGCCCACGAAGACTAAAAAGAAATGGCCAAGCAGATTTTGAAATAGTTAGGACAAATGTAGAAAAGAAGTGCGAACGGTTCCCGTTTCGACGACAAAGCCTGAAAAGCGAATCTATATCAGATATGCTTTTTCTTCGACGCACCAGTATATCAATTGGGATAACGCCATATACGCAACAAGACCATGTGAGCGCAATATACAGAGTGATTCGACGTCAGTGTGTAAGCCGAAACGGTAGTCACACGTTACGTTTCACATGCTGAGAAACTCGCAAGGTCACCACACATCAATGTCGTAAACTTTCGTAAGAATAGCATTTCACAATCATAGTAGCTAAAAAAAAGGTTTTGTTCGAATTGGATTGTTTGATAATATTCCTTTTTACGCGTGGTCTAATCTGCTATTGTTGCCAAAACGATATTGACGCAAAAGCCCAGTATTATATTAACAATAGGTACTAATAATTCATTAATACTTGTCTTTTTAAACTTTATAACAATATCCCATCGAGGATTACGATGTATTCATATTCTTAGGTACACTTTTTAAGTTTATATTCTACTTAGGTGCATGAAAAAAATTCGCTTTACTTACCTTCGGTCATTAGGAAAGATGGTGAAGTGGAAGGTGAAACTGCCGATTTTTTCGATATTGACGATATTTAGTTTAACATTTAATCATGGCGTAGCACGAGGTAAGCCTACTTTACACCAAACACTCCAATGAATGGGCGGATTTAGGGAAATATGGCGCTTAAATAGCTAACTGACACAGAGCCTTGAATAAATGTGAATGCGCCTATTGCGTTTATTTGCATCAAATATTAAATACATTCCAAAAAGGCTATAATAATAATATTTTGTTCTGATTCTCCTGGTTTTATTCAAACTCCTAATCCTAAGCCTAGAAATTATAGCTTACCTCACAACTAATGTTTATTTATCTTCAATTTCTGGTAGTCAAAAATGTACAGGGTGGCCCACCGAAAACGAAACAGACGCATTTACTGGCAGGTCAGTTTTTTTTTTGGAAAAACGCTCAGACCCGTCGATTTTGTTTTCGAAGAGGACACATGTTTGGCAAAAAATCACGTTAACACTGCATCCCCCTGGCCTTGTTAATGTTTCAGATCGGTTATGTAACCCAACAAATAGACCCACAAAAAAGCCAGATATCTTTTCAATAGGACGTCACGATTGTCAGACCGCTAAATGAAACCACATATATTTGAATTACTACAGTAAATAGTCATTTAAGCACATTTGTTTCCATTAAGTGGCCAGTGAATCATCGAATCCTACCAGCATGAATAGAACAGGATAAGCTCAAACTTACAACCGAAAATCATACAAAAATACTTACGTTGACAATCTTTTTGCTCGAATTCTATCTAAATGATCTCCACTTACCAAAATAAGATTTATAGAATATATTTTTACAACGTACCAGTAACAATCATAAAAGAATCATATGCCTGCTACTTATTTTGAAACCTATATATAGATCATAAATCTGTCAATGTTTTAATATTGTAGAGCCACTTTGCAACATATACAACTGCCGGTCGCCTTTTAAATGTGACGAAGAAAAGATCAATGTTATTTCGACCCGCCTGCAACTGAGAATGGAGGTGAGTTTATCAGACCAGTTCGTAGAAAAAAAAATGAAAATTGTACACTCACTTTGAAGAAGATCTACTTTAACATGTGTGGTCACAAATGTGTAGATTTGGACAAGTGGTCCAAATACATATTTCTTTTTCGTCAAATATTTTAGGTCAGACTGATCTCCTTTAATGAAATTATTCATGTTTGCATGCGCAATTCAATACCATCAAAGTCTACTACTCACCAGTGCCTAAATTGAAATGGATGAGAAACTAACCTGTAACAAAAAGTAGTTTGAATAAAAATATAAGCAGCTGTTTAAAAAACAAAATCAACATTTTGTTCCAATGATGGTACTTTTAGGTCCGAACTGTAACGAAAATACGTGTCAACCACCTTTCCAGTGCGACCCCGAGACTGACATCTGTTACATGGTTCCAAATGCTCCAACAGCAGGTATTCCTTTTTAGGGTCTCTATCGATAATGTCCAGAAATCAAAAAAGCACCGTATAGTCCCAATTCTTATGTTTTATATTATTATTTTCCAGATAGATGGATCGACATTTTTGAATTAACAAAAGAGAAACACGATGAGCAACCATTGCTTGAATCATTCATGTTGCCACTTTTATCTGATATACAACATCAACAGATCATAAATTTACCAGCAATATTCCAATGTTTCAGAGTCATTGTGCAACAATTATAATTGTCCGCCGCCTCTCAAATGTGACAACAAGACGGATCAATGTTACTATATTCCGCCCCAAGCCGATGATACAGGTAGGTCCTCTAGACCAGTACGTAGAGGAATATGAAACTATAATGTTTTTTGTATATCGTAGGACCGGCTTGCAACAAACACACGTGCCACCAACCTTTCAGATGCGACTTGAAGCAAGACAAATGCTACTGGACACCAACGACGCCTGTCATTCTTTCGACACAACCAAGTCAGTCATTCATTCAGCGTCTCATTAACAAAACAACCTTAGATTGAGCACATAACAAAGTTAAACGCTCGCACCGTTATGTAAATAAGGGATGATGATATCGAACAATTGTCTATTAATAGCTGTAATATGAAAGGACTTGTTCCGATCAATGATGCGTAAGATATTCCATGGTGGCCAGTGACTGATGGTATCGGGCATTTTCATATATTTCACCAATCTATTACGAATTTCATCCGTATGAACCAATTATGTTACGTATATTATTTGCACGTTTCAGCTCCTATTTGCAACGAAAACTCCTGTCCGCGTCCATACACGTGCGACGAGAGGCTCAACGCCTGTTACTTGGACGCTACTCCAACGACATCGTCAACAACGTTCACAACAACGCCAACGTCGACACAAAATACCACCGATCAATACATTGATTCTACCGCGGATCACAGAGGTGAGCCACGAAATACATTAAAAAAGTTGCTGTTATATCAATTAACCGAACCAAATTAGTATTATCATACTCTTTGAGTACCACCATTCGTTGCAATGTACGTTTACTATAGCGTCACATTATACAGGGTGTTTCAGAACTGAGGGATCAAACTTCTATGGGTTATTCAGTAGAAAACGTTTGAGTATAGGGACCCATATTCGGAAAAGTGACACTACGGCCCTAAGACGCGTTAAAATTTAGAATGCTTAAATAGGATTTAATCTAATTAATTTTTAATCACAACAATTGTTCAAAATATCTTCCTCCAACCTGAATACACCGATTTAAACGTCGCACATGATTTCGGCGGACTTGACTAAAAATTTGATACTCGTTTTGAATGCTTTCAAATGCTGCTGTAATTCGTCCAATTAAGTCTTGCTCTGTTTCTACTGAAGTTTCGTAAACCAAAGACTTTACATCCATCATGCTGAAAGCACATTTGCTATCGAACGATCAATGGAACATTTTCAAGAAGTTTTGGAAGAACTTCCTCCAAGAAATGCCGGTAAATAGGTCCTGTTAACTGTTCCGGTAGAAGGTATGGCTCAATCCAATAATCATCAACAATGCCTACCCTTACGTGGACAGACCAACGTTGCTGATGTTTTCTATTAAAAATTGCACGGGGATTTTCTATGTGTCAAACGTGGCTATTCCTACTATTAAAAATACCGTCTCTTGTGAAAGACGCTTCATCGATCCGTAAAAAATTGGTTGTGCAGCGACTTGATGAAGAAGCCATTGACAAAATTGAACTCTAGGATGATAATCGGGTGCAGTCAATCCTTGAACTTCTGGAAGTGGTAAGGATAAAGTTGCTGCTCGTGCAGCATCCGCCAGACGGAAGCGTTACTCGTATTCTGTAGAATATTCATATGAACCAAAGTTTCTACGAGGCATCTACAATCTAACATTCCTTGTTATAACATTGGGTATACATTTTGCAAAAATACTGAATGAGCATCTTTATAAAGGACACACTTTCAGAAACTCAAAAAAATGGTTTGTTCTCCATATCACTTTTTGACGAAAAGTGACATGAAAAAAATCCTAATGCACAAAACATTGCTAGAATAGACAAAATGCAATAGGTATATACTTTTTCTGGTTTCAGAAAGAGAATGTAATGCAGAAAATTGTCAGTACCCATTCCAGTGCGATCCTGTGACAGATTTGTGCTACTTCATACCACCAACCGAACATCCCCCAGGTTAGTATGAACTTTACATAAACAACTTGATTTCTCATCAATTTTGCCAGACTATCTGAATGCACCATATAGATGCGTCCCTTGATTGGATTTTGCTATGTATAATTTAGTTGATACTTTATCCTTTATTTATTTTATTCAATAAAAAAATACCATCAGGGTAACACTCCCCCTTTTTAATTCTGCAAAATTGAACGAAAGCACATTATTATTAATTGTATCATTTTGTTGAACAGTGACACCTGCCTGCAGTCCGCTTAACTGTCCTCCGCCTTTCAGATGCGATCCAAAAGATGGTCTATGCAAATACATGCACGATAAGGACAAATGTAAGTATATCTTTAGGGGTAGAAGTAATAATGAGATCATCATTCTATCTATAACTATTAAATCTTTCAGGGTGCAAGAAGGAGAAATGTCCCAGACCATTCCACTGTGACCGTGAGACTGAGCAGTGTCTCTTTACACCACCAAGAAATCTTACAAATCCAGACAGTACGTACTTTATTAAGTTAAATAATCTTTATAATAATGAGCATTCCAAATAGTGCCAGTATACTCGTATTTGTAGTTTGTTAGGTTTCGTTCGTGGGCGATTCTCACTTCCGTGTTTCGAATTTTGTGTCCGTTACTCGTCCGAAAAGGTTTGTATGTACATATGTATGTGTATGGCTGCTCAAATCGCTTTGTTTTGTAGATTTTCAGTAGTTCTTACTTCATTATCGTTTAAATATTTTCAAACAAAAAAAATACTTTTTAATTTTCTGGAATGAACATGACAAGTCGATGGAGTATTGATTTTTAGTATTTCTATAACTAGAACTAGAACCCTCAATAGGTCTGGTCTCTGGTTATCTTTTCGCTTAGGAAAGCCTCTAAAAGTGTTTTTTCAGCTTTAGTACTCAACTGTCATTGTATGTATACGAGCCCTTTCCCACTTTAGTTGAAACATGACAAAACTAATTACTTCTAAAACAATTTATTTTCTCAAAAACATTTTAAATACACTCTAGTTGCAAAAAACACTTATCTGAAATCACTTAGACCTATAACTAATAGAACATATGAACAAATAAACAATGTGCGACTAAATGCGCGAAGTTAACAAAGCGACAATTCAAAGATTACCATTGGGTAACATCACCTTTATTTTTTATTACGGCTGAAATTCTTTGGGGCATAGTGTTAACCAAGTTTTGGCAAAAAAAAGGTGTAAAACAATCCCATATTTCTTGGAGTTTTTGTCTCAGTTCGGTGATTGTACGAGCAGGATGTTGTCATAGAACCTTTTTCATCTCGTCCCATAAGCTTGTCTATGAGCAACGCTATATCCAAGCGTTATAGACCCATCTTCATAATTTTTGATCTTGTTTCAGATTTGCCATGCAATCGGCATACCTGTCCTAGGCCTTATCAGTGTGATCAGCAGGGACTGAACTGCCTATTCTTGCCAAAAGGTCAGGATTTTATTTCATTTTTCATATACTCTGTTTTTGTTCTCCGTTAATTAAGCTAACGAAACTCGGTATAATTGGTTAATTTGCTATACTGATTTTAAATACAGCCATTAGAAAATCTTGAATCACCACGCAGCTCTGTTTAGAATAGAATGAAAAAATGAAACGTTGGGGCCTACCATCGCAGTCAGCGAAAGCGAGTCCCAGTCGAGATTAAACATGCGAAAGATATTTTCCAATAGTATGTATATAATTTTAAAGATGTCCAATGGACGGTCTCCATGATGGTCCCCCGTAGCTACCACCGAACTAAATCAGGTGCACTCAAGTGATTTCGCTTGGTATAAAACTAGAGTTTAGGAAATTTATGATATCGATTTACTTAAAAAGTGCCCGTCCAAATCGCTGATAGGCAAAGATTATTTATTCACTTTGCTATATACTTGAAATAAAGGTGGATGTGCTAAGCAACCTATCATATAACATATTTTGTACATTCACCATTATTTGAAAAATACTAATACGTACACCTTTATCATCGCTATCATAATTTAAAAAAATTCTAACTATATTTTTTCAAATGTTTCAGGTTGCGAGGACGAGCAATGCCCACCACCATTTGCTTGCGATTTTGGTTTTTGTGTCTATCGTCCTCCTCCATCTGCAGATGGAAAGAAAAGTCAGTATTTGATCTTTACAGAATGATTATAATCGTGAAAGACTCATTAGGCTTACCTTGGATTCATAAAATAACGTATTGCTCATACATAGTACCATATACAAGCCCTGAGACCTTCTCTTAAGGGAGTCTCACCGATTAGTCGGATTGTAATCCTCTAAGCAGAATCGGTTTAAGCTGTGTGGTTCGGATATCATCTTTCCAGATGCGAAAGCAATGTTTGACCCCGAGATGCTGTCTAAACATTCTACAGAGTTTTGGAATTCATCAAGAGACAAAATATTTAGATAAAGTCGACAAAAATAGTCAGTAAAATTTGAAATACAATACAAACGTTGATCAGGCACAGCCAATGCCTCTTCTATACAACGTCATAATAAGCACCGATTTTCGCGTTCTTTAAATCTTTGTATCCTAATAATATATTGCATATTCCAGGAAGATGTGACAAAAGGACTTGCGAACGACCTTCATATTGTGATAAATTGCGAGATCTTTGCGTATACGTGGAACCTGATACAATAGCAACAGAGACCCCAGGTCAGTTTTGGTCGATCCTCGAGGTAATTTAGGACGTTCGTTTTGGATATGATAATAAAAAATACTAAAGTCTTGAGAAGTCCTGATTGAAGTACAATTACAAGGTAATTTGAGTGAGAAACTAACATCGGATTCGTTATTTGTGCATCCGATTTACCATAGCTGCTCTATGTCAAGATAAAATTGAAATCATAAATAACTTCTGACTTTAAATTAGGTACAACACCAGCTTGCAGCCTCAGAAACTGTCCACCACCTTTCAAGTGTGATCCCAAAGACATGAAGTGCAAGTACACTGACCTGCGGGCTACAACACCTATACGTAAGTGTTTACTTTTTCGTCCACACATTTCAATGTGACGGAAATCGAAACGTAGGCCATTTTTTAAGTGAAAAAACAAACAACACAAACTTTGAATCGGGCCTCATCACTCCATTGTATTGCACACCATTGTTGAGGTGTCCATTGTCTATGTTCTTTAGCCCATCTAGGCTGATTTTCTTTTGCAGTGGAGTTAGTAGTGGCTTTTTTTTGGCCTATAAACAAGTTGTGCAACTTTAGGGTTTTTACTTAATTTTTTTTTTATAAGAAAACTTACCTTGCAAGTGCTAAATCCCACTTTGTGGGCCTCTGTATGAGTTGTGGACCTCGAAATTCTCCTTCCAACAACGTCACTCCACAGAGCACTTAATTGTAAATAATTGGCACGCCTGTTTTTCACGATTATTCTTCTTAATGCTCTTCGGTCGGCATTTGTGATATTACTTTTTTTCACATATCATGGCTTAATATTAACTGAACCAGTTACATTATATCTTCTAACAAATGCTGTAATTGCAACATGTGTTATTTTTATGCTGCAAACTTGATTAGGGAGTGATAAAGTTGGTGTTTTCTACTATATATTATCAAAATATTCATTGTTAATATTTTAAACCTATAACACCCTGCTACATTTTTATTATTTGTGTTTGATAAGAAAAAACTAAGATTTCAATAGTTAGGCCAACTGAAGTGGGAAGGGGCTCGTATATTGATCTGACGTGCAAATATTGTCGAAAGCTGTTTAACCGATTTCTCTTTCTTGTAGATGATACAATTATTGGATGCCACAAATACTGTCGGTATCCTTTCCAGTGCGACAGACAAGAACGATGCGTGTTTTTGGAGAGGAAGGTTGTTATATCTTCACCTGGAGGACAGGGTTAGCACTTAATTTATATTTATCTTTAAAATATTGTTGCTCGCACATTTTATGTTCCTGTTCCTACAAATGACTTTTTTGATTGTTAGCATGCAACGCAGAATGGTGCCAGTTTCCAGCTGCATGTAACCGAACAACAGGGCAATGCGAATGGATCGATGTAAAAATTAAGCCTGATCCGTACGAACCTGTCACACTTCCGACTTATGTATCCAAAGGTGAGTAAAGGTAACACCTTTGTCGTAAAGAAAAGCACACCTTCAAGAAAGTCGGAAGCCGTTCTGGTTCTGAATATTGATGAATTTAAATGAAGCAACATTTCTAGCGTATGTCTTTAACATTTAGATGCGTTAGTTTAGAGTTGTACTCTTATCAAAAGCCTGACGGCAAGTGAAGGCTGGGTTTTTTGATGATTTTCAAGTGAAATCTCAACAATATCACTTTTTTGTATTACTCTATATAGTATTACGATTTGTTTCAGTCCGCTGTACAAATTCATGGTGCAAACCTCCATACGAATGCAATAAAGAAGGAGTTTGCTTAAAAGAAGAAATTGAAGTTGTCCCCCCACCACCTTTACCAATACCAATACGTAAGCAAGTATATTTACAATCTCTTTAGCGCAGTCGTCGGTGTGCCTAGCGAGTCATTTCAGAAACATTCAAAGAGGATCGATTTGATTCAGAAAAATGATAAACTTTCTCGTACTTTATACCATTTATATGATTTTAAGTTTTAACTAAGTTGTTTTCCAATATGGCTATTTGGGGAAAAGGGTTATTCCGAATCTCCCGTCAATTTCAGCGAGGAAATGATATCGTGCGTGCCCAGAAATGGTACGCTGAAATAGTTTGGCGCGAAGATTTTCAATAGGACCATTAGAAATATCCACGAGGTTTATTAGTCGTCTGCCGTATTAGTTCTTCTGCCAACTCAGTATCTTTACCGGCTCCGTAGAAATATTATTTTTTTTAAATTTCGCAAATAAAAATACTAGTTGGTAGGAGAGCGTCGTGGAATTTTTTTATACTTTTGGCAATACCCGCCCAAATATTTATTTTTAAAAGTTGTTGAAAATGACCCTCACGACAAATGTCCTTCTGTCTGGGTGTACCCGCAATAAATTTGAGCTGCAAGATTTGAATTCTGACGAGCTTCACCGTAAACTAACAACATGTCGGCGAACTCTTGATTCGAGAAGATTGTAAATAAACACGACCACGTACGCGAACAATAACTAACCACTGTTACCGTTTGCGATCGATTGCCTATTCGATAAGAGTGATGAGTGACCGACGCGCTGTTGTCATGTGTGTTTTAAATCTTTAATTTAATGGAACTTACTTACTGACTACAAATTTTGGCTTAACTTAGAAAAACTAAATGCCATTCATTTGTTAATTACCCAATTTAAGAACATTTTAGACTAGACTATAAAAATTAGTAAGATTGTGATGATTGTAGTCGATATAAAGCACTTAAAGTTCTAAACTATAAAGCCATTTAGACAAAAATCTATTGACTTTTGAACCATGGGTCATATGAACTTGTTTTATTACCCATTTCAATAATGACTATTATAACGTTTACACCCTCTATAAGCTTTCTAACTTAATTCATATTTAAACTCTCTACTATGAATCTATGCAGTTTTCAGAAGCCCATCTGTTCAAAATCCCTTTTATTTTTTTGCTCCTTCCTTAATCCCGCCATTTGACTCTCGAAAACGGGTTAGCCGTAAGACGTTTTAGCGATGTTGAAAATGCTAACTTCCCTAGAACATATTCATTTTGCTGGAATCCGTATAAATTTGATGTTTCTTTTAGCTCCAACTTGTGGTTCGTCTTGGTGTGTGGAGCCTCATCATTGCGACAACGCTGGCGAATGTGTAGATGATCATGGAAGCAGGATACGACCACCTATTTTGCCACCGAGTATGTACCGCCTTTTGTGGCCATTTCTCAATTCAGAAGTTCATATACCTGTACCTCATAGCCAGACTAAGTTAAGTCCAAATAAGTAGTCTTGAGATAATTACGTTTGAAATATGTTTCTTGCATTGCGTTATATGCATCTTGACATGAGTTAAAAAGTCCTTACTATTACAGATAGACGGATGCTGCATGTAGCAAATGAAAACTCACAATATTATCATAAGCTGAACATATTAAACTCATTTTTGACAAAAATGGACTGGCTCTGGGGTACAGATATTCATGTACGGAGTCTAATTGACAATTTTTTTGCAGAACCACAACGATGCGCCGATTGGTGTCAGGAACCGCTGTCTTGTAATCAGTTCGAGAGGTGCATAAAAACAACACTTCTTACTCAGCGTCCACCGCGTAAGTACAAAAAAAAACAAGTGAAATCATGAAATCGACTTATCCAAGGGTCTGAGAATGAAATATCATTACCGAAAACCATAAAACTATAAATCAATGCAGAAACGAGGAACATACATATCATGAGATATAGGGTGGTGCGAAATGAACAATGTGTCTTACATTCTCCGTCACTTTTTTATTTGAGGGGCAATTAAAACGAAACCTTTTTTTAAATTTGCTGTACTGATGGAAAATTAGTTGCGAAAGATGTTATTTAGCATGTAGCGGCTCTTTCGGTTTCACATAAGTCTGCTCTTTTTCAATAACTTTCCGCTTTGTCACAACGATTTAAGTATTGTGATTTAAGTAGGCAATGTTTCTGACTCATAAGCAAATGTTCGTTCAAATATTCCTGACGAAGGTGCACTGGAATTCGTTAAATAGGTTGGTTAATTCAAATTGGCTCTTGGCTAAAGGCCCTATCATCTGTCGTTCCTACAGTTGTAAGACGCCTTTATGGCCTTCTTGATTGTCACACTTCTTTCTCCTATTGTGAAGTTATGTTTTCTTTTTAAATTGTAGGAAATTTCAGACTGATACGACTATAACAGTTGATATTAATCAAAAGCATGCACAATTTGATGCAAATAGATATTTGTGACATACGTGAAAGTAGAGCGCTGACACGGAAAGGTAGAAAACTATGTAAATCAAAGAGGCCTACTATTGAAGGAACGACTGACGATACGGCCCTAAATAGAGACGCTATCTGCTCCTTGATAGTGTGCGCTGTAATTTAGCCTTGTTGGAATTCCATGTCTGAAGCTTCACTAAAAATGTTGCAGCATTATTCGATCTTAAGTAGCAGTAATAGAAACTAGACCTTTTGTATACTCTCAAGGTAGCTCCATCTGACAGCAGCGCTACGAAAATGATTCAATACTGTCTCGTGTAGCTGACAATGCGGAGTCAGTTCGCTTCTTATTGATATTGAGCGTTCTTAAGTCTTGAATTGGGAGTAAAATTTGACGATTTTCAATCGCTGTTCCATGATATATCGCTTCTAATCGAATTATTCAAGCCTTACCGACTAAGTCCCAAGTAATAAAATTAACCTTAAAAAAATGTTCGAGCTATAAATAATTCGAAATATATCGTACATTTTGCGCCGCCTTGTACTAAAATCAATGCAACTATGTTTATAAGAACTTTTTATTTTTTTTTTTTTTTTTTTTTTTTTTTTTTTTATACTCCAACTACCACGAAGGCCTAAGGCCTAAGCACCCATTGGGTACCGTGGGGCTATGGGGGATACATGGGAAAGGGGGGGACGCCACACGGACTCTGGCGAGGGAACACGTGTGCATGCAACATGCACACATTCTGGCTCCGCCTACGAGAACCGCCGGGTGGTACCTCCGCGTTCGACAGTCAGAGACCATCTACCACCTACGGACAATCACAACATCCATGGCCAAGAGAAACATTTCTCCTCGGACGGGACTCGAACCCGCACAGCGCACGGCGGCTGATCAGGAGACCGAAGGATCTACTACTGCGGCCACCGCTGCTGCCTAAAACAAACACACAACATCCATGGCGAAGGCGAGATTCGAACTCGCGGCCCGGCCGACCGGCTGATCAGTAGCACGACACTCTGACCCACGCGGCCAACCAAGGTCCAAACGCGGCCAACCAAGGTCCAAGGTTATGTTATTTTTACATAGTTTTTGCTCTAAACGTTCCTTGTATATCGCGCATTTTAAGCTAGTTATAATAATAAAGTACGTTATTTATATTTGGTTTGAAGCTGCATTTAAACATAATTCTCAACAATGATTTCAGTACCGTGTTCAACCTCGTGGTGTACAGAACCTTTCGTATGTCAGGACGATGCCACTTGTATCAGAGAAACAAGAAAGGTCATTCCGCTACCATCAAGGCCGGCAGTAAGACGTAAGTACTTATACATTTTGAATATAACTTAGGATCTAAATACAAAGTATACGAGGGATGTCTTTTAAGTTTTGCATATGGAAATCAAACAACACGGTAGGTTATTTTTAAATGACTTTATTTTTTAATTCTGGGAAATCAAACTCAGAAATTGCAATTCTGTTAGACTTATCGCGGTACAGTGTGAGAAATATTGTTAGAAGATGTAACTGGTTCAGTTAATACTAAGCCACGATACTTATGTGAAAAAAAGTAATATCACAAATGCCGGCCGAAGAGCATTAAGAAGAATAATCGTGAAAAACAGACGTGCCAATTATCTACAATTAAGTGTTCTGTGGAGTGACGCTGTTAGAAGGACAATTTCGAGGTCTACAACTCATAGAGAGGCTCACAACTGGGACTAGCACTTGCAAGGGAAGTTTTCTTATAAAAAAGTGAAGTAAAACCCTAAAGTTGCACATCTTGTTACAGGCCAAAAAAAGCCACTATTAACTCAGCTACAAAAGAAAAATCGGCTTAGATGGGCTAAAGAACATAGACAATGGACACCTCAACAATGGTGTGCAAAATAGAGTGATGAGGCCCGATTCGAAGTTTGTGTTGGTGACATTCGCAGTAGAGTTATTCGCAAAAAAATTAAGCATTCCATGTTGACTGTCTGAAGAGAAAAGTGAAATTTCCTGCATCCATTATGGTCTCGGGCAGTATGTCATCAAAAGGAGTAGGAAAACTCAATTTTATTGATGGAAATGTGGATACAAACAAATATTTGGCAATTTTAGAAGAATCGCTTTTATATACCAGTGATGGAAGAATGTTTGACATCCGGCCGAGATTTTGTGTTTCAGCAAGATGGTGTAGCGTGCCGTACCTCAAAAAAGGCTATAAAACGGATGGAAGAAAATAATGTACCAATTTTGAAATTGGTTTCTAGCAGACCAGATCTGTCACCTATTGAAATTTTGTGGCACGAGATGAAAAAGGTTCTACGACAACATCTTGCTCGTACAATCACCGAACTGAGACAAAAGCTTCAAGAAATACGGGATTGTTTTACACCAAATTTTTGCCAAAACCTGGTTAACACTATGCCCCAAAGAATTTCAGCCGTAATAAAAAATAAGGGTGATATTACCCAATGGTAATCTTTCAATTATTGCTTTGTTAACTTCGCGCATTTATTCACACATTGTTTATTTGTTCAGATGTTCTATTAGGTATAGGTCTAAGTGATTTCAAATATGTATTTTTTACGACTAGAGTGTATCTAAAATGTTTTTGAGAAAATAAATTGTTCTAGAAGTAAATAGTTTCGTCATGTTTAGTTTATAAAGGCATATTTTGGTACAAATCTTGAAGTGGGCCACTGAAGTGGGAAGGGGCTCATAGTTCATTGGTTTTGAATAAATTGCTGAAGCCAACCTAAGTGAACGGTTTATTACATTTAACTAAACGATTGCGATTTGGTTTAATTGCATTAGTTTCATCGATTCAAGTAAATTGTTTTAGAAATCCGTTTAAGTAATTAAGCTTGTTAGTTGTCGCATGATTGAATTTCTCAATTGGCGAAATTGAAATTTTAATTGGATTAATTAATTTTTTTCCTTAAGGTACAAAACGTAGTTCACTAGTAACAAAGTGACAGAGTGTGTGATTTTTTAATGTTTTCCAGAACCACCTTGTATGCGTGGCTGGTGTAACCGTGGTTATTCTTGCCGAGCCGACGGTACATGCGCAAACGCAGCTGGGGAAATACAACTACCGCCGATGCCACCGACCCCACGTAAGTATCTTTGCACTGCAAAACTTTAACGATTTCATTCAAGAAAAAGGAGAAGAAAAAAGAAGGAACATTTAAAACTGTTTCATCCAGTGACAAACATTTCGGAAAGAATGTATTCTATCCAGCTCATGTATTGCAGTACAAGAACAAAACCTGATTATTTTAATCATAAATGGTACTAAAATGTGCTGGAATTTGGCATTGAATAACTTTTTAACGACATTCTATTATTGTAATGCATTTGCAGACAGTTGTTCTTCAAATTGCAAATGAAAAATTCACAGCATGGACAATTATAATATATTCAATTGTACATATAAAATAAATGTTTTAGCATAAAAAGTACGAATTATTGTTAAGCTTGAGTACCGAATCACCGTGTATGATAAACGTTTCACCACTCAATAAAAATAAACCAATAATTAATAGTAACTCCGGAAACTTGTCAGAGCATTCTGAAAACCCTGAAATGACAAAGTTGACAGGAAACCATTTTTTAGGGCTAGCCGTAAATTCTAGCACTGTATCGATATCGAATTTGGAATTTACGCACCCGATTTACCCAGGAAACAAGCTTCCATCTCTCGGCCTTCTATAGTTATCGCATTCTGTGACCTAGCCGATATCTCGTAATGCCCCTAGTAAAAACCAAACCAACGCCCTGCTGTGCAACTTTGACAAGATCGCGAACCACGCCGCCCGACCTCATACAGGATCAGGAACTCAATTTATAGCCTCTTGGCTGACGATATCCTAACTAGGAACACCTCGGACACAATGTAAACACCCCCTTCACCGGTATTCTCAAAAGCAAACATCCCATTCACCGTTTTACACAGAAGACGTTTGAACTGTTCGTTCTCGATTCAGAACCACAAAATTCCATAGTCCAGTCGAAATAATGTTGCCGGTATCTTTAATCGTACTTAGTATCAGTTCAAAGTACTTTTTTGTGAAATGCGTTCACCAAGAATCGATTTATTTGTAGCACCACCACCATGTCAAATGTGGTGTCGACCACCCTTCGAATGTGACGGTCAAGACTGCGTGCAGATAGGCATCGAAACCAAATTACGACCAGGTAATTTTAAACAAGAGACCCGGATATAATAGATGAGTCGCTATGATCGATTTAATTTCAGAAGCAGAAGAAGAACCGTCCTGTTCACCGTCATGGTGCCCACAACCACCTTACATATGTGAGAATGACCAATGCGTGTCGATGTATGGAAAAGAACAGCGTCCTCCTTCAGGTAGGTAGGTTCAACAACGATAAATATTGTTATTAGAATCTTTATTTGATATAGCATCTACAAAGCAATCGTATTGTTCAGCGGTCTATGTGTAAACGCAGCAACGCTTTCAAATTATGGTGAACGCGCATCGTATCGATCGTAATATGTCGCATTACGCACTTTCACCTTATTTTCAAATAACAGTAAAGACCTATTATCGTTGATTTCTTAAGACCGCTGGGTACGCCGCATGAATAAACGTTAACGCTCGCCTTTTTCGACATTTATATAAAGTGAAAATGCCAAGTTTTCGTCTGCGGCATTTGTGATTTAAGCTAAGACCGATGTATATGCCTTTCTTTGTAACGTTATATTTCAAGATTTTATTTCTGTTTATCTGAAATCTTTTACCACCTTTGACAGCTGCACATTCAAACTGCGCAGAAGGGCTCAACATATTAAATTTGGCGATAGCATATGAATCGTTTTTTCATATATTTTTATCATTTATAAATTTCATGCGAAGGCTACTGTCAAAATTTTCAAAAGGCTTGAGAACAACGCTCACATAAGGTATACACGCTATTCAGGATAGCTTATACATACATACATATATATACAGGGTGGCCCATACTAATAAACAAATACATTTTGGGAAAATCTATTTATAGCATGTTATAATATAATTTTCCTGTACCTACAAAGTTACTAATAGTGCCTTTTTGTAGCTCCAAAAGCTTGCGACGATGAGTGGTGTCTTCCACCGTTTGAATGTCTGAACGGTATCTGTGCAATTATCATGAACAACACTTTGCACCCACCAACTACGCTATCACGTAAGTTTCTCACTAAAGTGTATCTCAATACGCCTAACAATAAAAACATCTCAGATCATCCCATGCAAAAAAGTCCAGTACTAATTCAAGAATGTGACAGGGGATCAATATGATCGTATGTTAAACATTTCGCTCTGTTGTTGAAACGTGCTTGTGTCAGTCAATACACTCACACTGTATAAACAGCTATTGTTACTTTAACAACTCTGTATTTTTCTTTCAGCATTCGCATGCCCAAGCTACTGCTTTCTGCCTTATGAATGCACTTCGAACGGTCAGTGCGTCAAAATAACAGAAATTATCATTCCACCTCCTCCTTCAGGAATAGGTTAGTGTCTTTTAATATAATAATGTTCAGGAAGTCTTATTGATCAGATAAGTAACGCACACTTGCAAAACTATCATGTACAATAAGTTTTACTAGAATCATACAAAAAAATGACAAACTAATGTTAATAAGAATAAATTAAATGATAATTTGATTAGACTGAATAGATGTTTGCACAAAATGTATGTTTGGCTACTTGAAAATATAAGAGAGCACCTTTCATTCGGAAAAACTGATTTCTAATTTTTCTCTTTATAGCATGTAGCAAGGAATGGTGTAAAGACCCAGCTGAATGTGATTCAGAAGGTTTTTGCAAGTATCTCAAAACAGAAGTACTACCAGCTCCACAAGAAATAGTACCAGCTTTACCCCATCGTAAGTAAAATCATTGTTATAATATGTAGCGAGGAGTGGTGTGGTTCTCCATATGAATGCATCCAAAATTGTTGAGGAGAGATTGTAACTAAGAATAAGACGGGAGCTGCCCCAGGTGATCCTTCTCACCGATTTCTCTGACAAGTGTACCATATGTACAAACCACACTCTATATTTGGGGTATTTGGTTCAAATATGATAATCAAACAATACGGAAGTGTCGAAAGGTTGAATTTGGCAAGACAAGTAAGCGTCCAATGATTTTCCGTTGGTTCTGGCTCCATACTGACAGCAGATTCGCAATGCATTCACTCGTTTTACCCAAAATTCAGTTTTCATCCGAATTAGGAATACGCGAATGTCTTTAAATATTACTTCATAGCTCATTCATTATATTTCTATATGACAAATTTAAAAAACAAAAAGCTCATTTCAAGTATCTGTTATCTCGCATCAACGTCAGAACTTCAAGAAAATATGCAATCTTAAAACCTACGTATATCAAACGTAGACCTTGCCAAGCAACGACTTAGGTACGATACTTAGAAAGGTAAAAACAGCTAATACTACCTTTCGAACTATATGGAAAAAACCATTAATTTTTTTAATTATCATTCATTTACGTTTTCAGAAATTAAATGCTCAAGTGACTGGTGTTTCAGTCCTTACGAATGCATCAACAACAAATGCATTATGAGACAATCAAGTAAGTACCAATGCTCCCAATTTGATGGTTGAAAATTTAGTACTTCCCAATAGCACCATTCAAACGACAGTTAAACGTTGCGACGAACCAAAAAATTATATATGTATATATGTGTACATACAGAAAACGAGTCTTTTAACAGTAATGTTTCAAAGTAGTTTCATAGACGATGCCATACATCGTGGCGTTATGATCTTATAACAATAGATTGTATTTCATCAGATTTTTGCACTACAGTACGTTGTGCTTAAGTATCTACAGAAATTATAGCATGTTATTTGTCATGCATTTCATACAAGAAACGTTTCTGTTTAACTTGTAGCCTGCAGCTCAGACTGGTGTACCGGAGATCACTATTGCAACTTTGAGAACAAATGCGTGAAGTATTTTACTGAAGATATTACTGGCACTGCTACAATTCCACAACCTCCACGTAAGTAAACCACTGAGAAGACTTATTTTCCTAAAAAATCATTGATGTGAAACCAAATCATCCTACTTCATGTAATAAGTAAATATTCGAGAAGAATTACTTTTTAAAAGGTTATGGTTGTAAAACGATCATGTTTAAGTGCTCTAAGAGACGAAAATGTTTGACCGAATTATTAGATATATTCACGATGATGCTACGTAACAATTTCGATTCGATTTATCCTGAATCTAGCTACTAAATGCGACCCAAGTTGGTGCAACTCCGGATGGAAATGTGTTAGCGACGAGTGCGTCTTTGCAGATGTTGGAACATCCCCAGGACCTCCGCCAACGCCTCCTCGTAAGTACCACTTTACTAAGAACCTTTTGCTATACTATTTAAACCATACTTCATATTGGTACTGTTGCACTAAAAGTTGATAAATATTCCTTTCAGCTCCAAAATGTGACACTAGCTGGTGCAATGGTGGATATGAATGCAACGAAGAAGGCGTGTGTGCTCTAAAGATAACAGAAACAGTGACAACCCCAGAAATAACCACAGTGTCGAAAGTACTAGGTAATGATTTACATGCTAATGTTCCGTGGCATCAATTCGTCTAACTTTTCTATCTAAATTGTGTTCAAGCTGATCCCTGAAAACGTGTTTGAGTTGGCATCACTTATCCACTACCTTTCATGAGCTTGATGAGTGGTTTTGAGAAAGAAAAGGGGCATCAATGAAATCTAATCTATTTTCTGTTAAACAGATGTATGCGAAGGCATCAACTGTCGCCAGATTTTGAATGCATGCAAGGCATATGTGTCCATCCTTCAACTATTACTCAGTCACCAACGGAAACTGGTAAGTAAAAATTTGTATATTATTTCAGTGGTACAGGTATACACACATTTGTTTATATTTGGCCGTGAATGTTACTCCACTTCTTGTGTCTGTGCTGCGAAATTATTTTGTAAAAAAACAAAAATGATAAGCATTAAAAAATTCGTATTGATATATTGGACAGAATGAGTTAAAGTTGTAAAATATCATTTGTTATAACGTGTTGTTGATTTGATAAATGAAGCAACAAAGAAAAATAGCGTTAAGTAGGTCGATTTACATTATGTTTAGTGTAAATTCAGGCCTAATGCCATGTGAATATTGATTCAAAAAAAGTGTTCAAAACAATTGTATCTGTGTCAACGATGGTTTAAAAGTTTCTGGTAATACCTCAAATTTTGAACCTTCCCAGAAAATGGTAACAACCAGCTTCTGAAACGTAAAAGGCTAAATTTGAATGATTTTATTTTTTAACATCGTGTCAAAATTTTATTCAAAATCGACTGCAGTTTTTCAAGTCATAACAAGGCCAAGCATTAAAGCACATCTCGACAGACAGACGGAAATGAGTAACATGTTTTTCCCACGATCTTCATGTCATATAACATCAAAAAATCTAATATCTCATTCATTTATTAATTTACTTGCAGAGGAACTTCCTAAATGCTCAATTGACTGGTGTCTCAATCCTTATGAATGCATCAACAATAAATGTATTCTGCCACTACCAAGTAAGTAACAAGACATTCAAACTGATATTCGATTTCAATTTGATGTGACCAATGAAACAAAAGATAAAAACTATACGTAACTAAAAATCGTATCTATAGATGCGATTTGTAGAAGAATAAAGGTGACTACTTGATGAGAGGAAGAGAAGCCATTTGTGTCGGGCTGAAATGTCAATCGACAATGCTCTACAATGAAGCCAGAAAGAGAGCGACGTATGTCGAACATTTCCGCGCGTGTAGGTGGTTTCCTTTCCACTCGATGTGCGGACAATTTTATTTTATGTTTCAAAATAGTTCCATAGATGGTACTAGACACTGTCACGTTATGAACTTAAAGAATAAATCTTTCGTTGTTTGACGTAAGAGCAAGCCTACGCCATGCTCATGAGTTTCCGAAAGCTCGAAACAGCTGTCCATGGTTAGCAGCCTGTAGTCGAACGAAAGGAAGCTATACTACTAATCAATAGCTTTTCATATAACATCATATTTTTACAACACAATATGTTGTTTCTAAATAACCACGTAAAGCGTGGCATGCCACTTAATACAACATATAAAAAACATTTCCGTTTAATTTGTAGCCTGCAGCTCAGACTGGTGTACCGGAGATCACTATTGCAACTTGGAGAACAAATGCGTGAAGTATTTTACTGAAGATATTACTGGCACTGCAACAATTCCACAACCTCCACGTAAGTAAACCACTGAGAAGAATTATTTTCCTAAAAAATCATTGATGTGAAACCAAATCATCCTACATCATGTAATAAGTAAATATTCGAGAATTACTTTTAAAAAGTTATCGTTGTGAAACGATCATGTTTAAGTGCTCTAAGAGACGAAAATGTTTTGACCGAATTATTAGATATATTCACGATGATGTTACGTAACAATTTCGATGAGATTTATCCTGAATCTAGCTACTAAATGCGACCCAAGTTGGTGCAACTCCGGATGGAACTGTGTTAGCGACGAGTGCGTGTTTGTAGATGTTGGAACATCACCAGGACCTCCACCAACACCTCCACGTAAGTATCACTTTACTACCATATTTTTGTCCTATCTTTTAGAATCAGTTTATATTCTTAAGAAGTACGTTTATAAGCAATATTGAAGTGTGGTTTTTATATTGCAGAAGTGATTACCAAATAAGAGCTCCAGTAAAGTAATACATAATTCCGAACAGAATGACTCTGCTCGTTCTTAAAGTATTGATAACGACCATTAAACATTTTCTTAGCTCCAGGATGTAACAGCAACTGGTGCAATGGTGAATTTGAATGCAACGAGGAAGGTGTTTGTATGCTGAAGATAACAGAAACAGTCACAACCCCAGAAACATTCACAGTATCGAAACAATAGGTAAGCACTTACATGCTTCAAATTCATTGTTCTAAGACATCACTTCACCTTACCATTTTTTTTCTTGATAGTCGTGTATCACCTGATCTCCATGATTTGTTTTCCGCCTAAACAAACCTTCGCGGGTGAATGAGTGTACAACATAATAAAAGAACGCCCTATGCAACCACTGTATCAAATCTTAGTAGTGACGCTTAGAAATAAAATGAGGCATCAATGACACAAATACATCCTATTCAATAACTATTGACATTTGATCTGACTTCTCTTTCTTTTGAACAGATTTATGCGAAGGCACCACCTGTTCACCACCTTTCACGTGCGTTGCGGGTGGATGCGTGTACGTTTCTGCAACCACCACTCCTGTGCCCACTGCATCAAACCTTGGTAAGCGGCGTCTAGACCAAATTGGGGCACCGATAAAATAAAGACATTCTATACAACTATGCATTCACATTCGAGATGATTTCTCTTTTTTTAACAGATCTATGCGAAGGCATCACCTGTTCACCACCTTTCACGTGCGTTGCGGGTGAATGCGTGTACGTTCCTGAAATCACTACTCCTGTGTCCGCTGCATCAAATCTTGGTGAGTTGAGCTTAGAAAAAGATTGAGGCTGCAAATGCTGAACTATTTTTCTCTTAAGCAGATCTATGCGAAGGCATCACCTGTTCACCACCTTTCACGTGCGTTGCGGGTGAATGCGTGTACGTTCCTGAAATCACTACTCCTGTGCCCACGGTATCAAATCTTGGTGAGTTGAGCTTAGAAAAAGATTGAGGCTGCAAATGCTGAACTATTTTTCTCTTAAACAGATCTATGCGAAGGCATCACCTGTTCACCACCTTTCACGTGCGTTGCGGGTGAATGCGTGTACGTTCCTGAAATCACTACTCCTGTGCCCACGGTATCAAATCTTGGTGAGTTGAGCTTAGAAAAAGATTGAGGCTGCAAATGCTGAACTATTTTTCTCTTAAACAGATCTATGCGAAGGCATCACCTGTTCACCACCTTTCACGTGCGTTGCGGGTGAATGCGTGTACGTTCCTGAAATCACCACTCCTGTGTCCGCTGCATCAAATCTTGGTGAGTGGCGTCTATATCAAATTGGGCATCGATAAAATAAAGACATCCTGCACAATATGCATTCACATTCGAGCTGATTTCTCTTTTTTTTAACAGATTTGTGCGAAGGCATCACCTGTTCACCACCTTTACGTGCGTTGCGGGTGAATGCGTGTACGTTCCTGAAATCACCACTCCTGTGTCCGCTGCATCAAATCTTGGTGAGTGGCGTCTATATCAAATTGGGGAATCGATAAAATAAAGACATCGTACACAATATGCATTCACATTCGAGCTGATTTCTCTTTTTTTAAACAGATTTGTGCGAAGGCATCACCTGTTCACCACCTTTCACGTGCGTTGCGGGTAAATGCGTGTACGTTCCTGAAATCACTACTCCTGTGCCCACGGTATCAATCTTGGTGAGTTGTGCTTAGAAAAAGATTGAGGCTGCAAATGCTGAACTATTTTTCTCTTAAGCAGATCTATGCGAAGGCATCACCTGTTCACCACCTTTCACGTGCGTTGCGGGTGAATGCGTGTACGTTCCTGAAATCACTACTCCTGTGCCCACGGTATCAAATCTTGGTGAGTTGAGCTTAGAAAAAGATTGAGGCTGCAAATGCTGAACTATTTTTCTCTAAGCAGATCTATGCGAAGGCATCACCTGTTCACCACCTTTCACGTGCGTTGCGGGTGAATGCGTGTACGTTCCTGAAATCACTACTCCTGTGCCCACGGTATCAAATCTGGTGAGTTGAGCTTAGAAAAAGATTGAGGCTGCAAATGCTGAACTATTTTCTCTTAAACAGATCTATGCGAAGGCATCACCTGTTCACACCTTTCACGTGCGTTGCGGGTGAATGCGTGTACGCTCCTGAAATCACCACTCCTGTGTCCGCTGCACCAAATCTTGGTGAGTGGCATCTATATCAAATGGGGAATCGATAAAATAAAGACATCGTACAATATGCATTCACATTCGAACTGATTTTCTCTTTTTTTAACAGATTTGTGCGAAGGCATCACCGTTCACCACCTTTCACGTGCGTTGGGCGGGTGAATGCGTGTACGTTCCTGAAATCAGCACGCCTGTCCCTACTGCATCAAATCTTGGTGAGTGGCGTTTAGAAAAAAGATTCGGGCATCAATAAAATATCTATTTACATTCGTGCTGATCTTCGTTTCTTTGAACAGATCTATGCGAAGGCATCACATGTCCACATCCCTTCACCTGCCTTGAGGGTGAATGTATATACGTTCCTAAAACCACTATACCAAAGATTGGTGAGTAACTTGCGGTTAAATGAAAACATCATATTCAATATCTATTTACATGCATGCTGATTCCTTTTCTCTTGAACAGATCTATGTGAAGCATCACATGTCCACCACTTTTCACTTTTCAGTGCATTGAGGGTGAATGCGTGTACGTTCCTGAATCACCACTCCTGTGTCCGCTGCATCAAATCTGGTGAGTGGCGTCTATATCAAATTGGGGCATCGATAAAATAAAGACATCCTACACAATATGCATTCACATTCGAGCTGATTTCCTCTTTTTTAACAGATTTGTGCGAAGGCATCACCTGTTCACAACCTTTCACGTGCGTTGCGGGTGAATGCGTGTACGTTCCTGAAATCAGCACGCCTGTGCCACTGTATCAAATCTTGGTGAGTGGAGTTTAAAAAAAAATCAGTCATTAAAGAATAAAGAATTCCTATTCAATATGTATTCACATTCGTGCTGATTTGTTTTTTTTCTTGAACAGATCTCTGCGAAGGCATCAACTGTCCACCAAGTTTCACCTGCATTGAGGGTGAATGCGTCTACGTTCCTGAAATCACTACTCCTGTGCCCACGGTATCAAATCTTGGTGAGTTGAGCTTAGAAAAAAATTGAGGCTGCAAATGCTGAACTATTTTCTCTTAAACAGATCTATGCGAAGGCATCAACTGTCCCCACCTTTCACGTGCATTGAGGGTGAATGCGTGTACGTTCCTGAAATCAACCACTCCTGTGCCCACTGCATCAAATCTGGTAAGTGGTGTCTAGATGAAATGGAGGCACCGATAAAATAAAGACATCCTTACACAATATGCATTCATTCGAGCTGATTTCTCTTTTTTTTAACAGATCTATGCGAAGGCATCAACTGTCCACCACCTTTCACGTGCATTGAGGGTGAATGCTGTACGTTCCTGAAATCACTACTCCTGTGCCCACGGATCAAATCTTGGTGAGTTAAGCTTAGAAAAAATTGAGGCTGCAAATGCTGAACTATTTTTCTTTAAACAGATCTATGCGAAGGCATCATCTGTTCACCACCTTTCACGTGCGTTGCGGGTGAATGCGTGTACGTTCCTGAAATCACCACTCCGTGTCTGCTGCATCAAATCTTGGTGAGTGGGTCTATATCAAATTCTGGCATCGATAAAATAAAGACATCCTGCACAATATGCATTCACATTCGAGCAGATTTCTCTTTTTTTAACAGATTTGTGCGAAGGCATCACTTGTTCACCACCTTTCATTCACGTGCGTTGCGGGTGAATGCGTGTACGTTCTGAAATCACTACTACTCCTGTGCCCACGGTATCAAATCTTGGTGAGTTGAGCTTAGAAAAAAATTGAGGCTGCAAATGCTGAACTATTTTTTCTTAAACAGATCTATGCGAGGGCATCACCTGTTCACCACCTTTCACGTGCGTTGCGGGTGAATGCGTGTACGTTCCCGAAATCACCACTCCTGTGTCCGCTGCCAAATCTTGGTGAGTGGCGTCTATATCAAATTGGGGCATCGATAAAATAAAGACATCCTTACACATATGCAGCATATTCGAGCTGATTTCTCTTTTTTAACAGATCTATGCGAAGGCATCAACTGTCCACCACCTTTCACGTGCATTGAGGTGAATGCGTGTACTTTCCAGAAATCACTACTCCTGTGCCCACGGTATCAAATCTTGGTGAGTTGAGCTTAGAAAAAAATTGAGGCTGTAAATGCTGAACTATTTTTTCTTAAACAGATCTATGCGAGGGCATCACCTGTTCACCACCTTTCACGTGCGTTGCGGGTGAAATGCTGTACGTTCCTGAAATCACCACTCCTGTGTCCCTGCATCAAATCTTGGTGAGTGGCCTCTATATCAAATTGGGGCATCGATAAAATAAAGACATCCTTACACAATATGCATTCTATTCGAGCTGATTCTCTTTTTTTAACAGATCTATGCGAAGGCAATCAACTGTCCACCACCTTTCACGTGCATTGAGGGTGAATGCGTGTACTTTCCAGAAATCCTACTCCTGTGCCCACGGTATCAAATCTTGGTGAGTTGAGCTTAGAAAAAAATTGAGGCTGCAAATGCTGAACTATTTTTTTCTTAAACAGATCTATGCGAGGGCATCACCTGTTCACCACCTTTCACGTGCGTTGCGGGTGAATGCGTGTACGTTCCCGAAATCACCACTCCTGTGTCCGCTGCATCAAATCTTGGTGAGTGGCGTCTATATCAAATTGGGGCACCGATAAAATAAGACTCCTACACAATAGCATTACATTCGAGCTGATTTCTCTTTTTAACAGATCTATGTGAAGGCATCACCTGTTCACCACCTTTCACGGCGTTGCGGGTGAATGCGTGTACGTTCCTGAAATCACCACTCCTGTGTCGCTGCATCAAATCTTGGTGAGTGGCGTCTATATCAAATTGGGGCATCGATAAAATAAAGACATCCTTACACAATATGCATTCATATTCGAGCTGATTTCTCTTTTTTTAACAGATCTATGCGAAGGCATCAACTGTCCACCACCTTTCACGTGCATTGAGGGTGAATGCGTGTACTTTCCAGAAATCACTACTCGTGCCCACGGTATCAAATCTTGGTGAGTGAGCTTAGAAAAAAATTGAGGCTGCAAATGCTGAAACTATTTTTTTCTTAAACAGATCTATGCGAGGCATCACCTGTTCACCACCTTTCACGTGCGTTGCGGGTGAATGCGTGTACGTTCCCGAAATCACCACTCCTGTGTCCGCTGCATCAAATCTTGGTGAGTGGCGTCTATATCAAATTGGGGCACCGATAAAATAAAGACATCCTACACAATATGCATTTACATTCGAGCTGATTTCTCTTTTTTAACAGATCTATGTGAAGGCATCACCTGTTCACCACCTTTCACGTGCGTTGCGGGTGAATGCGTGTACGTTCCTGAAATCACCACTCCTGTGTCCGCTGCAATCAAATCTTGGTGAGTGGCGTCTATATCAAATTGGGGCATCGATAAAAAAAGACATCCTTACACAATAGCATTCATATTCGAGCTGATTCTCTTTTTTTAACAGATCTATGCGAAGGCATCACTGTCCACCACCTTTCACGTGCAGGGGGGTGAATGCGTGTACTTTCCAGAAATCACTACTCCTGTGCCCACGGTATCAAATCTTGGTGAGTTGAGCTTAGAAAAAAATTGAGGCTGCAAATGCTGAACTATTTTTTTCTTAAATAGATCTATGCGAGGGCATAACACCTGTTCACCACCTTTCACGTGCGTTTGCGGGTGAATGCGTGTACGTTCCCGAAATCACCACTCCTGTGTCCGCTGCATCAAATCTTGGTGAGTGGCGTCTATATCAAATTGGGGCATCGATAAAATAAAGACATCCTTACACAATATGCATTCATATTCGAGCTGATTTCTCTTTTTTTAACAGATCTATGCGAAGGCATCAACTGTCCACCACCTTTCACGTGCATTGAGGTGAATGCGTGTACTTTCCTGAAATCACTACTCCTGTGCCCACGGTATCAAATCTTGGTGAGTTGAGCTTAGAAAAAAATTGAGGCTGCAAATGCTGAACTATTTTTCTCTTAAACAGATCTATGCGAAGGCATCACCTGTTCACCACCTTTCACGTGCGTTGCGGGTGAATGCGTGTACGTTCCTGAAATCAGCACGCCTGTGCCCCTGTATCAAATCTTGTGAGTGGAGTTTTTAAA